TCTTTGAATAGTAACATGTAACATTAAGACGAGTTTCTGTGGTGAATCAGGCCCTACATGGATGCAGTCGTCTCCTTGGTCACGCTCATGCTGGACACGGGTCTTCCCTGCTTCAGAGGACAGACCATCAAATTGCTCAAGTGAGTGAGAATGTTTTTGCATTTCGTGCTGATATGAATAAGCTGATTAGAACCTTCAATGCTAGTTGCTGTTGTTGTTAAAAATCTTGTTTCCTCATCTAGGCAGCGATTCAACCCAGGGTTGAGTGAAAAAGATGCAGCATCTTTCATCATCAAAGTCATCCAGAATTGCTTCCTCAGCAACAGGTTGGTAGATTTTATTTCTATGTTTAAGAAACAAATATGTATATATAGAGTTCTGATTGCATCCTTCTTTTTTTCCCTTTGTGTTAAACAGGAGTAGGACCTACGACATGCTCCAGTATTACCAAAACCAGATCCCATATTAAACATTTGTGCCTAAGCATGTGCATATATTGGCTGGTACATAGTGTGTGCGTGCGTGAGTTTGCGTGTGTGCCTTTGATGATGTTCACCAATGAAGATTGTGGCTCACTGTTTTTGCTGATTGTTGGCTGCTGTCCCTTGTGTATGTTTCAGCGTCTTGTTTAATTATAAAAATGTCTTTGCTTTACATTTACATTGCATTTTCTCTTATTTATTATGTCATATGAAAATCAATTATATTATTAATTATTATTCTATTGCACTGGCATCTTGACTTCTGTGTACTTAGAGAAAAAAAAATGCTTGTTAATCTGCACGTTAAGTAAAATACTTAATTAGCATTTGTGCCAAATTTAAATAATTTATAATGTCCGTGAATGTGCTTTCTGTTGATTTTAAGGTGGGGTTTGAAATGTAATTGGATACTTAAAGTAGCTAAAGTAGACCAGTTTCAGTTCTGACCATTGTGGCCTATTCTGTCATCTCGTACTTGACTGTACTACTGTGCTTCTCTTTTTAATGGACCAGTCAGAGTACTTTGATCTGTGGCATGGTACTTGTATTTACAGTGAGACTTGACTGTATAGACGTGAGTTACACTGTATGTATTTTTCATATTTCCACTTTCAACAGAAGAAATGATGCTCACATGTTCTGGGAAACACTGGGGCTGAGATTTGTATATTTAGCATTGCCAAATGGGGAGGGGTAATAAATGGTTATAAGTCAGTCTTTTCTATTGTTTGTCTGTGAAGGTAAGGCACAGCTTCATTGTTGGGCAGTTGCATGAAGTTAAATGTTAACTACCATGTAGCCTGTGTCCAATGTGGCTTTTGTTCAAAGATATTTTAGTAATCCACAGTGCCGTGCCCCATTTCTGTACGGTCAGCGTAAGCCTTCATGTATTGTTACTGGTTGTAAAGATTTTGCCTCTTTATATATTTATAGCCATGACCCATTTTCTGTCTCCTTTTCTATCTTCATGCCTTTTGAATGAGAATGCATAAGATATGAAATCAAATAAAGAATTATCACAGTATTTCTTGATGCCTTGTGAAACAAACTGACCAGAACAGAAGGCGTTACACTTGGTGGTACTGTAAAGTTGAAACAAAATATTGAGCAGTATATGATTATATTGGTGCAAAATGCCAATATTTATATTTTAATTGATTTATCATGCAATTTGACTGCTCAGATTTGCTACAGTATGACTTCTTTAGGTAGAACTTATCAAGCAAGAGAGGATCAAGTGAACAGAAGTTAATTAACTTGCACTGAAGAAATAATTCAGACAAAGCCAACAGCAGGGGAAGTGAGTCAGAGTGATACAGTTGTGTGAAAACAACTCTATTCAGTCCTGTTAAAAACTGACTGCTTCCATGGGAATTAAGAGAGTAAGTAGCAGCTAGGTGCTCCTGGTAAAATGCACTTAATTAACTGATCACAAGTAAGTGTGAGCACCTCTATTAAACCAGATGTTTTGGCATTTTGCTGGTCTGTAGCAATGAGGTGTACTTACACAATGCCACAGTCTTCCCAGGAATGGATGTCCCAGCAGATTTGTCCCAAGGCCAGTAAAGAAACTGCAAGAGCAAATAGTACTGTGATCACGAGACGATCTGTGATTCGTTTCTGTTAAAAAGCCCTGATTTAACAGTTGGTTGTATATCCACCAGAGGGCAGCACATACTGGCATCATTTAATCTGTGTCCAAGTTCTCGAGCTGCTCAAAAAGATACTGCTGATTTCTGTCATAACACACTAACAAGAATGCTACCAAACCTTTTCCCTCTAATAAAAGTGACCTCAAGTGTGCTTCAAGCATTTAGAGATGCACTGACAGATTCTGCTTTTGGAGAACATGGTGCCCTCTGACAGCAGCTTGACTTTAAATGGAGGTGAACTTGTACACTCCTGTTTCTGCTGTATGGAGCGTATGAAATACTCTAATACGCCATGGTTTTACTTCAGATTCATACAGCAGCACTAGGTGAATAATCGGACACATGCGTCAAAAACAATAGTCCGACAGCTAATAACAGATGAAGTTGGAAAAATAATCTAAATTTTCTGTTTAGAAATGAAGTTTCAGCCAAGTCTGCTTATGTGACTTATTTATGTAACTTTTAAACGGGCAGCCTTTATAGACTGCAGCTTAGAGTACATTTGGAGTGGGCTGCTGGTTGCATTACCAGATGGGAGTGATCGAGCCGAACCAGCTCAGGGTCAGCACACGCTGGAGCCAACCAGTCAGATGCAGTGAGTGATTGTGGCAAAGATCCCATGACAACACACTTGCTTAGTTTTTTCTTCTACTTTTTTGCAGTGATTTTCATCAAACGTCTACATATTTCAATGTGGGAAAAAAGATGCTGATGGTTACATGTTGGTGTACTCGTCACACTCTGTTTGGTTAAAATTTTATTGTGTACTGATTCACAGGAGAGGAACACACTGATGTAATTTTGATGTTGCTGCATCACTGCAACACACCTTGACCATACAAGAGATTCAAAGTTAGGATCTTTGTACGTATAT